TGTAGACCTTAATGCCTCTGATATGCATGGTTGCAGTGCAATTCCTCTTGACTGAAGATCTGACCTTCATCCTTCTCCAATAATCATGTTCATGGTTTTTGCCAGTACGACCAATTCTGGAATCCTTCTATGAATTACAAGAGGATTTATTATTACAAGAGAAGTCATTTGGTTAAGATGATGATGGTGGTGGTGATGACGATGATGATGGTGATGGTTATGATGATGATGATGGTGGTGATGATGTAATGGTAAAGATGATAATGGTGGCGATGATGATGATGGTGGTGATGATGTAATGGTAAAGATGATAATGGTGGTGATGGCGATGATGATGGTGGTGATGATGATGATGAACGAAAACAGCAGAAAAATATTCTTAACATTTTACTATTCCGTTTAGATTTCAATGTGAGACGTCTTTCTGTGACCTTCCATGCATAACTTAATGCTTCTTACATTCAAGGAGAAACTTCCCCAACCCCCCCCCCCCCCTTACCACCAGCAGAGCACACAGACAAATATCAACAGATGGGACAGACAGACAGACAAACAGACCGACTGACTAACTGAAAGACAGACAGAGCATTTACATGTATATGTACCTTGGTAGTTGTTCCATGTAGACAATGCCTAACTTCGCTACTCATGATCAGGAAAGGATTTCCAAACATCTGTATTGGAATGTTACCACGCCTGTCTTCAAAGATTGGTCTTGCTGTATGATATCAGATAACAAAATAAAGCTACAAATTACATGAAGGTTACATGTAGAAAAACTCTCTACTGTTAGGGATAGAGTTGTTTTTGGTGTGAAATGTATGGTACGGCCTTACAGTATGTGCATGGTACAACATGCCGTAACATTGCAATGGCTAACCATTACCATCTTCCAGTCAGTAATTCACTCAGTCACAAATGAACAGTTATGGCTATGGTAAGATACAGTACAGCTAAGTATGATCACAGACTTGCTGCAGGATTCCCCACTCAAATGAAACTCACAATAAGTTGGATTTAACCCATAATGAAAGTGCTGAGAAAGAACAGAAAGACAAAGACAGACAGAGACAGAGAAAGAGAGAGAGAGAGAGAGCATTCACAAAAGCAACAATGCAAAAATGAAATTAAACAATAATATAAATAATTGCTTACTATTTGAAGACATCCTCTTATGCCCCTTCTCTCTAGAGTGACATTCAGCACGGATAAAATATGTTGAAGTAACCAACTGAAAATGGTCCAAAAAATCTTCAAGCTGCTTCTCCTCACCAACAAAATACCCAAAACAATAGTATTCACTCGTATGAAAGTTGTTCAAATTTTCTTCCAAAAATGTTAATTCGTCGAATACAGAAAAAGGTAAATCTGCAACACCATCATTATCATTGCCAGCATCATCATCATCATTGACAAAATTATCATCATTATTGCCAGCAACATCATCATCATTGCCAGCATTAGCATCATCATTGACAAAATTATCATCATTATTG